TTACGTTCAGCATCTTGTTCAAAATAATGTTTAAGAAAAGAACATACATCATTTGCTAGCTTGCCGGCTTCTCCTTCGTGGTAAACATAACACGTCATTGCTTTCGATTTGAGATTATGGATTCCGAATGTGCATACTGTTAGCTGGCGATAATAATAGATATCTTGGACAGGTATTTGTGGTAACGAAACATTAGCCATGTAGTCGATGCAAATACCCAGAGTATCGTCATTTTGCTCGCACATTTTTTTCACAGAATCTAAGGTTGTATAAAATTTCTTACTACGGCGTTTATGTACCAAAAGTTCAGCCACCGCCACTCTCTTAGCATTATCATTTAAGGTTTCGCTTTTTATTTTGGCATTGAGTTCTTCACAGGTGCTGCAAGTGTCTTTGGCTGGTCTACCGAATCTTAAATCATAGTTTTCCTTAACATATGACCAAAAGAATTTATATGAAATGCGGTCATTTGGAAATTTTTCTTTAAACATCTACATGGTCTTTACCAATAATTTGGAATCCAGATATCGCATTTCTTTGTTTGTGTAGTGCGATATTTTGACCGGGTAAGATTCCATATGGCTACGGATGTTGGCGATTACAGTTCCTTTTATAGCATTACCACTCACATTTTTACCACGCATATCTTTTGGACTTTTATTGTTTTTCAAAAGCAACACCAGATGTTCGCAACGTTTTTTAGTCACTCCGTAGATTGACAAATATGCTTGTTTGCAGACACCTATTCTATGATTCCCGTTAAGTACAAAATATTTTACAGTCAATGATTTTGGCTTTGTGTTAACCATGCCAATTTTTCCCCGTCTCCGCGAAACAGGCTGAGTCTCTAATAGTCTTTGTAGATGCAAGTCTTGTTGATCTTTTGTGTCCATATTGCAAAACAATTGCTGCATATTAAGTTTTCCGTTATCAGTAAACTTCGTCAAACATTTTTGATGGCAACTACAAAAAAATTCGAAACTGGCAATCATAAGACTTAATTTGCTAAGCAATAACTTACCATTCATTTCCAGCAATCACTTTTGCGAATATGGTCTTTCCGGCATAGTTAACGTGTTGCAAACCATGAAGCTTTGCCTTTTTAATAATGTTTCTCTTATAACCTTCACTATTCACTACACCTTTTTTCCTCTTTTTAGGGGTTTCAACCTCACTGTCCGAACTAGAACTCATTTTCTACAGTTTACTAGTTTACAACACAATTGAGGTTAAGTTTAAGTCGGATATCCCGCGCAAGACGTTGAGACCACGGTGTTTACTGCAGAAAGTCGATATCTCCTGGACATATCCCTTTTCTGCTGTAACCGTAAATTTCATCCGCTTGTAGCCCCGAGCTAAATCATTAAACATGGCCCGTTTTTGCAGTAAAGATGTGTTTAGACCTCTAGAACACGATTATGTACGAATGTTATTGTGGTAAAAAATGGGACATGTCCCCTTTCTGCAGTTAGCAATTCATTTATTAAACATACGTTTTGCAACTAACTAACAGCTGTAATTACACTAAGAGCAAGCCATGTAGCATTGTGAAAATAACGCATTTTTCGTGTAGTTACTCAATTGAAAAGGGCATCTGCTTCATTTGAATTTTGTGTCCTCCATTCATTAACGTATTTGTAGCACTTTTCATGCTTGTGTTGCGATTTCACAAGTCCTAAATTTGCAATTGCTTCTGCAGCTTCCTCGCCAAAAATGTCAAGATCTTTAGCAATACCATTGGCAATACCCATTTACATTTTACATTACATTTTAGCGTGTTCACTTGGTTGTTATGGACAGGCATGTTATGGTAACTGTGCAATTTCACGCGGACATGATTATAATAAATCAAAAATTATTTTTGAAATTCTGTTAATTTAAAGTTTTAAAAACTAAATATACCAATAATATTCTGTGCTATAATAACATCAGGATCAAATACAAAAAGAAACAGGAATGTAATATTTTTCCGAAACTCTTAGGTATAGCATTAAAAACAAAAAATGAAAGTATGAAAAATCTACAAAATTATTTAATTCTTGTAATCTTAAATTATATACTTCCAGAAGCACAGTAAATTTAAATATTTACTCACTGTTCTATTGTTTCGTGAAGCTCTGTAAATGATTTATTTGTTCTCATCTTTCCCTCATCAATCTTATTAAATAGTTTGCAAACATTGGGGAGAATTTCTCCCTATAGATACTTTTTGCACATATTCCTTAGTTGGTCTGTTACTACCCTGCATACAACAACCCCTAATAAATTATAACTCTAATTTAGAAAAACATTGGGTATTGGGTAACCACCCTAAGCTACAAAATTAGTTTTTATTTACAGACTACAAATAGGATTGTAACATCCAGTTCTTTAAATCTCTAATTTAGGTAGGTTGTCAGTGTAGAAACCTATAGTGCCTTTCACTTTAATATAGTTACTAAATAAATTATTAAACTCTAAAGATGTCTATACGATTTTGGCAGCTGCTGTCAAGGCCAACCGCGATGCAATTCGTCTAAAATCTACTATACAGGGTTAGTCACGAGAGAATTACTTCTGAAAATTATTTTTTTGGCCTCGACAACTGTGAAACTGACATTTACGTATCGTAGATAGCCATGGTATTTTGATTTTTACACATTGAACTGTCATTTACCAAATTAAGTGCGGTAATAAACACAGAAATTTTCAGAGTTATAAAACCTTTAAAAAAATTGACACCTCACCATTAACAAAGCTTGTGTTCACCAAAATAAGATACCGCATAAATGCATCTATTAAATGTTTTAAAATAATAGCAATTGATTTTTTTATTGAGTTTGGAGAGCGCCATCTGGTGGCATAAGCAGCAGTCATATAGAACTATCTGTCACGATTTTAATTTTATCTGACGTTTGACGCAGGGAAAGCCTCCTTACAAATTCCACACAATTTAAAAAAATGTAAAAATTGACGAAAACAAGCACCACTAAGTCATCGGCCAAAAAGTTGCATACATTATTCATGCGGTAAGCATTTTCCAACGCTCAGATTTATTAAAACACTCGGCTTTGCCTCGTGTTTCAATATTAAATCTTCGCGTTGTAAAATGTAACCTACCGCATTTATAATGTAAATAACTATTACGCAACCCAAAAAAAATACTAATACCACTTGATATTATCTAAATTTAAAATGAAATGCCTAATCCATGATTGCTTTGACTTTGGCAGTGTCACTTTGACGTTAATTAATTTTCAACATTTTTTTTCATTATTGACTCGTCTCTAGAGCCCCATTGGATCGACGACATACAGTCAGATCAATTTGGGCTACACTGAAACCGTAAGTGCTCTACCAATGTTGTTCGCCGCTAATGTGCATGTGTTAATTCGCCATCTCTGCGTCACCTAGAGCCTCTTCGAAGTGCAAATCTGCAACCTCTGGACTTCTTCGGCCATCCATTTACAAAAAAGCCGTAGCATCCCCCCAAAATGCCCAACATTTTCAACAGATTAGTAGTTAAATTATTTACTTACTTGTTTGAGTTTGTGTTGTAACCTTTGAATAAAATGCCGTAAAAAAAATTTTTAGAAATAATTTTCTCGTGATTAATCGGTTGCAAAAGATCAAAAGGCACACTGACAAATTTATTAGCGGCGCCGGAGGAGATTTCCGACTGGCTGCGGTACCACCATGGACACTCGCATAACCTCCTTTTCCACAATTGTCAAAATGAGATTGCCAAACTCAAAGCAATCATGGATTAAGCATTTCATTTTAAATTCAGTTAGTATCAAATGGTACATGGTATTCGTATTTTGGGTTGCGTAAAAATAATTTTCAGAAGTAATTCTCTCGTGACTAACCCTGTATATGCTTGCTGAGTGCATATGTTACCGCTAATATCCGAAAACCGTTAATATGCCTAATAACTAGACATATTAAAAATTACCCTTAAATACTAAAATTGTCAGCTATTATAATGTGTATATTAGATTTTATTCCATCAAGTCGACATCAATGTCATAAATTACAGAAATCTGTTATTATCAGAAAACTGAGGAATCATATCTCTATTTCAAAAGTATAGCGCAAGAAAATAACCTCGACAAAAAAATCAATTTTTCAAAACGAAAATTTGAAGACCCAGGGACAGTTTTAAAAAACAACCTGCATTATAACTTCAGGTACTTCACTGAGTACCTACCTAATCAGTAATTAATTTATTGTCATTTTAGAGCAGATACGACAAAAAAACTTTTTTGTTACAAAATTTTCGATTGGCTCTAACCTTTTTCGCACAGTTATTGTGGCTTCTATCAATTTTTGTAAATGACTTTACACTCCACGGTACTGACGTGTATGACATTTAATGGCGTTTTAGGAGCAATTTACAATGCCAAAATATTATGATATATGGATGCATAGAAAATAATGGAATATCGAAGGTGGACCAAGCTAAATTAGATACCACGGTTGTTATGGGAATGTTACAGACTCTTGGAACTCCTGATATTCCTAGTGACATTAAGCATTTTAGAGTAGGTAAATTAGATCAGACTAATCAAAATCGTTCGCGACCGATTAAGGTTATCCTGTCACCTGAAAAATCTGTACTTTCCGTCATACGAAACGCTAGACAATTAAAATCGTCATCAGAATGGGTCACTATCTCTATTTTTCGGGATCGTACTCCAATGCAGATGGAAATTCACAGAAATGCAAAGAAGGAATTAGAAGACCGTCTGGCAAATGGTGAAAAGGATTTGACAATTAAGTATAGAAATGGAATTCCTAGTGTAGTCTCTTCGTTAAACTAACGCAGCCCAATAGATCCCTGACTTCAATGAAACTTTATTATCAAAATGCGCGTGGTATAAAATCAAAACTACATAATTTATTTCTCAACTCATCTGAACTTGTCTATGATATCATAGTTATTACAGAAACGTTCTGCTTTGGGGCGTCAAAAAGGTGGTGGTGCTCTTATTGCCATTTCAAATAACTATTCTACAGAAATGGTAGATACATCTTCTGTCACTACAATCGTGTCGGCAATTGATTTAGTTATCGTGAAATGTACAGTCAACATGTTTATCTTTTTTCTTGCAGCGGTTTATGTTCCCTCTAATATATCTACTTCTGACTTTGAACTCTTCCTGGAACGGCTTGAACCTCTACTATTAGGGAAACCCGTCATTCTTGTTGGTGACTTTAATATCCCACAATTTAATAATCTTCCAGCAAACATTCATTCAGTTTACTACACCACTTAAATTTATGCAACATAATCATGTTCCTAATTGTAATGGACGTTGTTTGGACTTTGTCTTTACCAACTTTGAGGTGTGTGCTGATGTTTAACATGAGGAGTTACCACTCTTGAGGGAAGATTTATATCATCCAGCCCTTGGAATTACCGCTGAATTTGTGTTGTCCTCTAAGCGCCCGCAATTTCCATCACTTGGCGCTAAATGCTACAATTTTAAAAAAGCTAACTTTGTTAATCTTTATAATGATATTTTTGAAACTGAGTGGTCATCTTTGTCAGCATATAGTGATGTAAATGCTGCTGTAACTGAGTTCTATAGAATATTTTACAATATACTTGACCCTTCTGTTCCCCTGTACTCGCTTAAAAAGTCTAGCTACACAGTGTGGTTTAATAAACAGATAATTAAAACTTTAAAAATGAAGAATTATTACAGAAAGAAGTGGAAGAAGACGTCCAGTGCATTCTATCACATTGAATTCAAAAGGCTTAGGGCATTGGCAAAACAATTAATCAGGTTAGGTCATGATAATTATCTTAGAGAAATTGAACAGTCTATACATTCTACACCCAAAAATTTATGGAAATACGTGCGGTCCAAGAAAGGTACAACTCGTATTCCTGGCAAAATCACCTATAATGGAAATGTCTCAGATGATCCCCAGAAAATTGTGGATATGTTTGCCGAAAAATTTTCAAATGTGTATCTTTCTGGTGCAAACACTGGCATTCCCGACATCATTACAAATAAATTATCTTTTAGTATGCAGCCTGTTACGGAGGAACAGTTAGTAGAAGTTATCAGTACTTTAACAAACAAGCTTACTTTTGGTGAGGATCTTATCCCCAGTTTTCTTGTTCGGGATGCTATGTGCTAGAATCACACCAATTTTCAAAAAGGGAGATAAGTCAGATGTTAATAATAATTACAGACCCATTTCAATTCTTTCTAACTTTGCCAAAGTATTCGAGTTAGTCATTTATAGAAACATCTTGTGCAATGTTCGTAGTCATTTGTCAACACACCAACATGGATTTATTCCTGGTCGCTCAACTGTTACCAATCTGGCTACCTTGACCCAATATCTCAGTGAGATTCTTGACAACAGGTTGACGTCATTTACACCGATTTCTCCAGTGCTTTTGATAGCATCAATCACAGTATTTTATTGCAAAAGCTTAGTGCATTCGGATTTACGTCTAGCTTTTTAAAACTCATAGCGTCTTACCTCATTAATAGAATCAATTTTGTTTTTTACAATGGTTTCACGTCGTTTAGTTATGTTGGATACTCTGGGGTACCTCAAGGTTCTAATTTGGGTCCGCTACTATTTACATTGTTTATCAATGATTTGCTTGCGTCTATGAAGTGTAAAATACTAGCTTATGCTGATGACATAAAACTATATGCCTCTATCAACAGTGAATCTGATTATATTAATTTTCAAGCTCAATTAAATCTGTTTATTGATGGCTGTCAGTTTTTGCAATTAAGACTAAATCCTGATAAGTGTTTCTATCTGACTTATACAAAAAAAGTAAATCCAATTCCTACTTCTTATGTAATTTGTAACCAATCATTACAAAAGAGAGAAATTGTTAAAGATCTTGGTGTTACCTTTGATCCGCAGTTATCTTTTATTGAGCACATCAGTGACATATGTTTAACTTCTTCCAAGATGTTGGGATTTATATACCGAACAACTATTAGCTTTATGAACCCTTGTTTCATTAAAACTTTATATTTTGCATTTCTAGTCAGTAAATTGGAGTATGCTTCTATTGTATGGTACCGAATTTATGTTACACACCAGTTCGCATTTGACAAAATTCAGCGCCGCTTCTTGAAATTTTTGACTTTTAGGTGTGAAGGTATTTATCCACAGCGAAATGCTGATTACAATATGTATAATTGGGTTTTCATGGCAGGACTTGTCCTGTTTTGAAAAAAAGATAGTGTTTATTTTACATATTTAGTTGTGTTATTCGCAATAAATTTCGGTATTTCATTTGCTACATGATTTATGTCTAGAAAAATGGATATATACAATGTTGTACGAAAACTCCTTATTATGCATTTAATTATCGCAAAAACTAATTTCATACACTTCTGTCGCTCACTTGCATATTTTATTTTTGATAGAATTAATTTCCACTGGATAAATTAAAACATTCAGGTCATCAAGGTTTAGCTAATTGTACATACAATTTAAACTAATGAGTTTTTTATGAACTCCCATAACACATTTACTAATGGAGCATTTGGAACACAGGACCGTTGCAATTGATTTTATGTTTTTAAAAATATGTATGACCATGGGTCATATAAAGATGAAGTTGGATACAATCTGGGAGATTCCGCTGATACTCAAAACGTCATGACATTGTTACTAGATCAAAACATGCTAGACTATAAGCAGATCTAAGTCACGTCAATAATTTTTGAGCCACAAGTAGCTTGGAATTTACCATTCCAAGCCAGAGTCCAAATAGGTTCCCAGAAATTTAGTAGAATTAATGAATTTATTTTTAATTAACAACATAATCAAGTTATAATGTACTCCCTTTGATAAAAAAAATACACACCATCTTCTGTCGATTCAACAGATTAATTAATAACAAAACTGAGATATCCTTGCAAAAGACCAAAATTCGAAGCAGAGATAAACTTTTAGTTTCTTATACATATAAGTTTCTTGAATCTCCAGTGACATTGATACACGAATAACAAAGCTGTGTTTATGAACAATGTTTATGCTATTATAAGAGATGTCATAGAAATAACTGTCTCAATCTCTACTGCAATAGACATAATTATCCGTATATGTTGCATAGTTAACAGATTTCGATACAGTGGAGCCTCGTATTGCTTCCGACAATAAAATTCCCCATAAGCGTCGGTATACCTGGAAGTAGCATATTAAAGTTACTTTTGCACGATTCAGATTTCTTTTAATTTCCACTATCTATCAATGACGTTACATAACAATTTTCATAGCCGAGTTTGTCCATTTCAGAATTCTCCTGTAGGAAAGCACACAAATTATTATTTTTGAACGAGCTCTCCAACGAAGCACAGTTATTTTAGTTCATAAGTCTGCCAAATTTGTGCGGCTTCATTTCCATCTGCCCCCACTTTATTTATTCCCGCTGCCGATGCCGTTTAATTTCCGCAGCTGAAGGAACAAATTACACAAATAAAAATAACGAAAAAGTCGACGGGAGTAATCAGCCAATTAACATCGATAGTAGCGGTGAACAAGAGTTATTTGACGGGAATGGGAGAGAAGCAAATGAAATAACAGATAACCGAAAAGTGCGTCGGGGACAAGGATGGAGTTTTTAGAACGCCGCCGACGAACGGACGCCGACACCCGCCGCCTACCAAGACAAGTGACAGTCTAATTGTTTGCGGGGTTTCAATTACTTGGGCTCGTAATTAGGCGTCAAACTGTGAACGGAATTAAATTATTTGTCCGGTTTCGTAAACGCCATGTCAAAATAATCCGAGGAAATTGTTATAAATGTTTAAGGACGAAGCCAATAGTTGGAAGAACTAATTTTAATTTCCTCTCGACAGATGCTATTGACTTAAAGAATATTGACAAACAGCGAACTACGTTTGTATGGAATTTATGTTCTTTTGTTTCGTCGTTCTGTGCCATTTGTTTGGAAACGTAACTTCATCAATATTCGGTATAAGTGAGGCGCTCGCAGCTTTGGTCAAACGTAAGTGAAAATTCTTAAGTTAACTAGGAATAAAAAAAGATCCTAGTTTATTTCGGCAGAACTTCCCTCGCTTCTGAAGTACAGTAGAACAAAGATTTAAAAAAAAAAATAAGATTTGATTTTGTGAATTTTATTTTTTATGATAACCCTTAGAAGTTAAAATAAAGATGTATGTAATGTTAAATAAAATAAAGAAGGGTGCTACGCGTTTGTTTCAGGTGAGTTTTTCCACTACAAAATATGGTGATGACGTCATCAGTAATTTTGCAATATGGATAAATGCAGTATAATACTAATAATAACCGTAGTACATTCTCAAATTTTCGGGAAAATGGAGTTGTTCTTAATCTAATCAACACAATAAATTGCTTCATTCATAAATTTTTTGGTTCATCCTGTATAAGTAACTCTAACAACTATGAGTGCGCTGATAAACCACAAGTATAGATTTATAAATGATTTATCTGGCGAGGTTTTGAGATAACGTCATTAATTTTTTGGGTATAAGGTTAAAACGAATAAATTTTTATTAACGATTCACCATGATTACGACGAACTTAAAACATTTGCAAGATTTCAGAGCATTCACTTTTGCAGTTTCCAAGTTATATTGCAAAATGTTGTTATAAAATTTTAATTTTTTACCAAAATATTTGAAGGGTGAAAACTCAACACAGAGACATACATCACAAGTGAACGACGAACGAGTATCTTATTTTATAAAAATAAAAAACAATTATTACTGTAAATTTTGGAGATTGCGTCATCGCATTGGTGGTAGGGATAGCTGGCCAAATTTTGGTTAGCGTTTTACTATCTCAATTATATTCCTAATATACCTACATACAAAATTTGACAACAATCGGTCTGGTAATTTCGGAGATTACATGTCTAATAAAAATCGATACAGACGCCAGGCAAACAGACAAACAGACGGAAGCGGGAGATCATTTTTTCGTAATGTAGGAGCCATGAAACGTTGAGAAAACATTAAAGTGGTAAGTTGCCCCATGGACTCGATTATTCCTTCGATATTAGCTTACGCTCAGGACCTAAAAATCGTAGGAGTAAAAATTTGCGGCTTGAACAAAATAAATTTCATAATAACAACGAAAGGAAAACCATTTCTTCATGCAAAGATTAGAAATACATAATCTTGTTGTCTTTAGTGTTTACACTTAAAACAAAAATATAATGTTTCTTAACTGAGATTCGACGATATGGGTAAAATCACTTCGGGTGCATTTAGACATTAACCAAAATTTTGAAATTTATTTAGCTGTTTATAGGTCGATTCTGTAACAATCAGTTAACATTATGTTATTTTAAGTTTCTGTTATTAAAATTGCTATGTTATCAGGACGTTAACATAAAACAACAAATGTCGTATTCTGTAAACCGTTATGTTAGTACCTAAATAACAGATGTGTCATTTGTCCGAAAATGTTATTTTTCGAAGTAATGACACCACTTTCATCATCTGTCACTGTCAAACAAATACACCACGAAAATGTGTTTTTTCATAAAATTTTTGCTTAGTAGATATTATTATCGCTTCTGCTGTCGTTCGGAACTAGATCCAGACAGGCATTAAAATTTCACTAATTAGGTGACAAATTTAAGTCATGACCCTGCTAACCGATGGTTGACTCATGGCAACAGAAGAAGACATTCCTACGCAGTGTTGGTATGGAGCCATGGCCTAAGGAGTTCAATGTGGCTAAAATTTTTAAGTATCCCGGAATACCACTGGCACGTAGATTTCCCAAATGAGGTTCCAACCTCTCCAGCAAGAAACGGGTCATATTTTTGCTAAAATGAAAGGACTCTCTAAATTCCGTCTGTTAAATTTTCAAAGGAATTTTGATTGTCGCGAAGCTCTCTCAGCCGAATTCTCATTCTGTTCATATAATACATGTATTGTAATATTTTTAATAATACTATGATATGAAAAACCTACCGTTGAATTTCGTCTTCTAATAGTAAGTAACCGAAGACGGGTAGAAAATCATCCACTTCTGTCATTTTACTTCTTTTGCCACCTCAGTCGTCAAATTTGTGATATTATTAATTAATAAACCTCAAAATAACCGCATTATGTTAATAACATTGACTCAAATGTCTCTGTTATTTTACAGAGTATTTTAATAACATAATGCTATTAACATAACAGAAAGAAGCGTAGCGAATTGCAATTTATGTTAAATATGTTATTACATAGCAACAACAGAATGTTAGCTGTGTTTACATAGTGATAACAGAATGTTATTAACATAACAAGTTACAGAATCGATCTATTATTAAGTAGTCATTTTACCAATACTTGTTTTCCATAAAACTAAAACGGCAAAATTGGACGTAAGAGAGAAGTCGTGTAGTTAGGCTTATAAGGATAAATATTTGAATACTAGACACCATTGAAATATGTTGTATTGATGAGATCTAAGGAGGTCGAAACAGCGGTATACAGATCTTCATTGCGTTGTCTAAATATTTATTAGTATAAAGCGTTTAAAATAGTATGATATGTATTTGATCAACAACTTTTTCGGAAAACGTTCTCCATTTTTTAGAAGGAAGAAAAAAATTGTATAGTTCCTACGTCAAAAATTCAAAAAACCTCATTATACTCGTAGTCCGTTTATCGAATAGATGGAACGATCACGTGCACTTCACGTCCTTATAAAATGAGCGTCCAACCATAACCCATAGCATGAAAACTCAACGTTTTTTGCCTCATTTTGTGTTTAAATTCTCATGTGTCGCACTCACTTCTTCCATCGGGTTCCAAGATAGCGGTAAAAATCTATAATGTAAAGCAACTATTAACTTAACGTAAATTATGGCACGTGTATTCAGACCAACTTCTATTGCCGTTGCAGATATTATTATCACTTAATAACAAGTTTTAAATGTTTACATTAGAAAATACGCACCTCAAAATTACGTAAAAAATGACAACTTGTTACGTGATGTAATAAATAATTTGGCATACAAAGTCAATTTAATGTAAATATGTAAGAGTACTCCGTAAAAACTAAAAAAATTGGTCGTTGTTTCGACAGGACTTCCTTCGCCCCTGAAGTACAATGAAACATATCCAGCATTTTCGGGTTGCGATGCAGTGTAATACTAAAAATAACTGTATTGTATTCCCAAATTTTTCTGGGAAAATGGAATAAACCGTTCCTGATTTAATTCACGCATTCATTAATTTTTCTAAGTCACTCTGTATATGCAAACCCAAAAAATGTGAATGGAATGATAAATCACAAGTATAGACTCATCATATTTTGGACATTTTAGATAGGATTTATTCGACAAAATTTGGAACTGACGTCATCAATTTTTTGGAAGGGATAAGCAAATAAATTTTTATTAAAAATGTATCATGCTTATAATAACAAAAAAAAAATCTGCAAGATTTCAAAGCATTCGGTTTTGCAGATTCAAAATTACATTGCAAAATATTATTTTATAACTTTTGTTTTTTTTTCCAAACATCCGAACGTTTCAGGTAAAAACTCAAAACAACGTCATTAACTATATGTGTAGGACTATGTTATTTTGTACAATTTAAATCAATTTACTACGTACAATTTTGAACTGATGTCGTCACATTATTGGTGCGGATGATTAGAAAAATTTTGGTTAGCGTTTTACCATGTACATGATATTCCTCATGGAAATACAGAATATGACAACAATCGGCCCAGTACTTTCGGAGATTAGCTCTCTAATAATAAAACATTCGGGAAGGAAGAGAGATGGACAAACGGACAAACGGACAGACGGTCAGACGGAAACGGAAGACCTATTTATTCGTACTCTGGAGGTCATGAAATGTCGAGAAAACGTAAACGTAGAGTCAGCCGACGGACTCGATTATAATACTTCCTTCGCTTACGCTCGGGAAGTAAAAATCAATTTTATTCTTATTTATTACAGTTTTTTGACATTTAAAAAAAATAGGCATCATCAATTTGATTTTCAAATCCAAAACAATGTCAGAATCTATAAAAAGGATATATCGAATAAATTATTAAAACAAAACACCCGAAAAACGAGAGGAAACTTAAAACATGCAGTTGACCTAAACGAAAAAGACAGATCTAATTTGTTGAACTCTCTGAAAATGGTGATGCCTAATTAAATTTCCGATACCTCTCGACCAATAATGTTAGTGTTATCTGAAGATCATGGACTTTTGCAGCTCCATTTATTCGTTAAAAAAGTATAAACATTTTTTTACATAAATTATAAAATAATTGTACTGAATAAAAATTTTTGTAATAACTGTAACGTATAAAAGTAAAATTAAAAACAGGGACCAACTATTAAAACACAAATAACATAAAATATCACGCTTCATACTTTACATATGATCCCAAATTGGCAAAATTAAAGTTTTGCAAGAGAGGAACAGAAAAATTTTTACTTACTCTTTCGGCGTATTCGTGACGACTTATTAAATATGTTGAAAGTCTCGCACTAAGTGGAATTTACTTCTTCGTTGAAAATTTTACCAGCAGCCAAAAATCAACAGATAAATCGCGTTTTCGTATTTTAGAGAATGCAAGATAAAAACAAGAAAACACAAAATCAAACATTTGTTTAAACAAAGGAAAGTAAAAGTTCATTTTACACTAATGTGATACATCGATGCTCAAAAAGCAATAACAAAGTCTGCAACGACATGCTTATGTAATAAACTTTAAAAAAAAATAGAATAAGGCATGTAATTTAGTTATGTAGCTACCCTTCTCACGTAGCTCTAACGATTAAGAATAAAGTAAAATGTATACGTCTAATTTTTTTACAACAAACAAAACAAAACATAAAAGTCACGTTCGAGACATTTGTAACAATAATTTTGTGTAAAACTTAAGTCATAGTAGTTTTTGTTTTGTAAATTACAACAAATTCAACACTAAACTATGTCACGTATGGGACATCAGAAATTCTCACATTCTAAATGTATTGAAGAAATTTTGCTATAT